GTGATCACGCAGGCTGGTGTGCTGCTTCCATGTGGGCTTTGTTGCTTCTGAGCTAGATGGCCAGTTTCACTTTGAAGCCCATTTGATAAGTCTGCAGCAGCGCAGACACTGCCCCTGTGCTCAGGGACATCAGCTCAAGGTCCTCATGGCGTCCAGGGATCCATGGAGAACAGCCAGACCAGCCATGCAGTACTCACTGCCCTTAAGGGGGCGCCGGCTAAAAAGCGCCCCTGCAGGACAGGCTGGGACTGGCTTCCGAGACCCTGTCTTTCTCCCAGGGAGCTGTGGGTAGCCTTGCACTCCCGTAGCCGTTGCACCCCCGAGCCCTGGGCGTCTGCCAGCTGCTGGTCTCGGTGGAGCCCCCTGCGGGCAGCTCTTTTGGAACTTGAAAGTGAAGACTAAGACTGTCGCTGCTTCAATTAGGATGTTGCTGTAATTTCCCTTATCTGTAAAAAAATGTTTGTAGCTCTCGAACAGTTCTTAGATTTTGTGAGGGACAGCATTGACTCTTCCGTCTCGAAAGTGCGCCAACCCTTGTGCTGCACGTGATTGGTCCAGGGCCCTCTGACCAAGTCACTGAGGCGTGACTCCTGAGTGTGCGGCCTGGCACCCCAGTTCCACGAATGTCACTCTCAGGCACCCTAAGGGCTCTGCCGTCCCTCCCTGGACTGCCTAGGTGAGTGACATTCACCCACTTTCTGCTGCCCAGGGACAAGCCCCTTCAATCGCCAGGCACATGGTCAGAAATAATTCATGCTCAGTGAAGGCTCAATTTATGTGGAGACTTGGAATTGGGTTTAGGGCTTGCTCTGTAAACTGTAACTCAAAACCTCAAGACAGGTCTGACTCGGAGAAGAACCGCCCCTGTGGGTTTCCAAGGCCATGAACAGTCAGGAAAGCCCGTCTTTCTCTGAGGAGCAGCTGGTGGTTTCGAACTGCCGGCCTTGACTGCCGGCTTTGTGGTTAGCAGCCCGACTTGTGTAGCTCACTAGGCCACCAGGGCTGCTTCGGTAAACCACAGCCTTCCGCAGACTTAGTGCTCTAAGAACAGTGAGTGGAAGTGTTGGTGCCAGAAGGTGACACTGATGTTAGGAGTCACTGGTTACCCTGGTGGAGGGTGGGGTGTGGCTTCCTCAGCCTTGGCACAGATTGCACACTCCATGTTCTTCTTGGGGGGGGCGGGGGGCGCAGGGGGTGGGAGGCGGCCCTGCAGTGTGCCAGGGGCCTGGGCAGACTTTGGGAGTCAAGTCTTGGAGGAGCAGGCAGTGTTTCTCTGGATCGAGCCTGATTTGAGTGCTGAACAGACTTGCTTCCTAACGGGTCTTCATCCTGTGGCAGCCTGGGGCCTGGACACCAGGGTGAGCCCAGCCCTGCTCTGTGGCTTTAGTGATGGTGGGGCCTCGGGCCTTGGAACGAGACCTGCTGTCCCTGCCCAGACTTCTCTGCTGCTCGCCCCTTGGCCTCAGTGCCCGCCTTGCTTGCTCAGCGGGGCCCCGTCATGTCTGCATTCCAGGTCCCGAGCTTCCAGGTTGACCTGTTGGCTTCGATGAAGAACCGTTTCGTATTGATTCACGCAGTGCTCTGGGTGGAAGCCCAGTGCGTGCTGCCTGGCTGCCCCTTCCCAGCCGGGTGCAGGCGTGCTCATGGGGCAGGTGCCAGCTGGGTGAGGGCTTGCTGGCTGCGAGCGCACCACAGCACGCAGTGTCTGGCGGCCTCGCATCTCAGCAGCCTGTGTCCTGGCCTCTGCTTGGGAGGTGCCGCTGTTGCACGCTGCTGTCCAGTCGGCTGTGGCTCAAGGTGACCCGTGTGTGTAATGGTCTGACCACTAGGCCTGGCTTCTGAGGTGCCTGGGGGGTGGGGGAGTCAAACCCGCCAGTGCTTTGTTTAGTAGTCCACACTTCGGCCTCGGTGCCACCCGGGGACTCCTTGCTCACGACAGAGCTGGACCAGGACGCAGATGAGCCTGGGCAAGGCCCAGCGACCATGGGGTCTGCTGACCACACAGCTGTGTGGGCCTGGGGGAGGAGGCGTCCTCTTTGCAGAGAAGATCTGTCCCCAGGACCACGAACAGGACGGGGGTGGTGGGGCCAGGACAGAGGTGGACACGGTGAGTTCTGGCCCTCTTTTGGGCTGTTGTTGTCAGTGTCCACAGCCTTCCCTCCCGGTGAAGCGGGAGGTCGGTCGCTGCATCTTGAAAGCCGCCTCTGGGGGGTGGGGCCTGGGGAACAGCAAGACGGAAAAGACTGGGGCAGCAGGTCAGGGGCGCAGGCAGGTTTACAGTGATGATTCGTGTTTTTATAGCACGTGTGAGGGCAGAGTTGAAGAGAAGGGGGTTTCTGTGGGAACGAAGTGGGCACGGTGAGGGGGAGGGGGGCATTATGCTTGGAGTGTGGATGCTCCGGGCCTAGAGCGGGCATGGTGTGT